CTGCTGCTGATGCTGCTGGTGGTGATGCTGATGGTGCTTCCTTGGAGTATGGTTCTGCTTCTCCAAGTTAAAGGTCTTATTGCTCTGCATTTTTATACCCTCAACTTGATTGAAGACAGCAAAGTGCCTCCAGTCCTAACTTCGACTTCGCCAATACCAACAGTCCTCTCCGCAGAGTAACGGCGACGCTACCCAGGCTCTACCGTCCCTAGAAAAGAGCGCGCGACCGCCGGAAACCAATTTTTATTTTTAGATAGGTCTTTGCTAAGTCATTAAGCTTTCCAGGCTGACTTGGGATCCTCCTGTCTCAGCTTCCCAGAGTGCTGGGATTACAGCGGTGTGCCACTATCCCTGATATATGATGTACTTATTTTAGAGTACATTAGAAAATGTGTAACTGATATTGTACATCAAAATGTGACTTCTTATATAATATGGTGTAGAATACAGCTTGAGTTCAAATCCCCAGTTCTGCATCCCTCCCCCCATGAAAAAACGAAATGCATATGCCTCCTACCAAGCTATGAGTCTTAGACCCCATTTTTTGGATGGGGCCTAAGCAAGCTGGAGATGTCAGTTAGATGATCTGGGAGAACTGTAGCAAGGGAGTGGGAAGAGCTGGGAGGTGGAGGTAGCCCCTGAAGAGGGTGGTACCAAGCACATTCCCTGAGTAGAAGCACATCTGTGAGTGGACCCATCCAAAGAGTGGAACCTTGGGTATGTAGTCACTGATGTCGTGGATTGAGGGCTGCTCCGCGGGAGGGAGGCATGAATTCCTCAGCCCTCTGGCTTGTTGCACTACTGAATCAGATTGGTTTTGGTGGGCAGAGAGATTTGATAAAGAGATACAAGTGCTGCATCTAAGGGGCAGATGCAAGAGAATCCGAGTGGGTGTCAAAAGGTACACCCTGCACGGGCACGGGGAAGCCAGACCTGGCTGGAACACAGTCCCCACTTTGGGGTGCTCCCACTGTGCAGAATCAGGCTGCTCTGCCTGCTCGTAAGTTCTTAGTACTTACGAGCTGTGTGATCCTGCATAAGAACTCTGTGTTCCATATTCCTTATCTGTAAAATAGCATAGTCAGCCTCTCCTATAGGGGTGCTGTCAAGATTAAGTGAGCTAATCTGAGAAAAACGCACGAAACTCTCACTTTTTCCTTCAGTAATGAGGAATTGAACTCAGGGCCTTTGACTGAGCTACATCCCCTAACTTTTAACTTGTCGAGGCTGGACTTAAACTTGCAGCCTTCCAGAGTGCTGCAATGACAGGCATGCACCACCAAGCCTGGGTCAGCCTCTCGCATATAATACATGCTTGATCAAATAGTAATGAACGCTATTTCAGTATTGGGTTTGGGACTTCACTTGATCCTGGAAGACCCTTTCAGGAAGTTTGTGTTTTATCCTGTTAGTTATGGGTTCTCCCTAAATAGTGCCAGGCAGGAAAGACTCCCTCAGATTGCTCTGGAAAGCGGGGCTGAGTGAGAAATACGAGGTCGAGTAACGGATTTGGAGTCTGTTGAGGAATAATCCAGAACAGTTAGGAAGAGCCTGTTTAGACTGTGTTCAACAGAAAATTGAACTCATTAAATATAGCTAATTTACGGAGGTATATTAGCAAAAACAGAAGCCAGGTCTCGGTGTAGGAACGACTCCTCCTTTCCTGACAGGGAGATCACGTTCCAGGAGCCAGACAGTTACAATACTATTGAATAAGGTCGGTCACCAGCAACCTTTGCATTTTGAGGAGCTCGCTGCGGCACTTAAGGAGGAACTCCAGGGTCCACCAGGGGGCGGCGCCTATAGGGGCGGGATCGCGAGCGAGAGCGTGGCAACGCTTCTGCCCACCGCTTTCGGGGAATAGGCTCCCAGATGGTGGTTTTCGGGTGTCTGTCAGGCCTAGCAAAATGTTAAGGAGGGTATGGCCGGGATAGTGGGGAAGGCGGACCTGCGCTCCTGATAAAAAGTGAAGGAGACGTGAGGTCTGCAGCGCAAGCCAATGAAAGGCGAGGGGAGGCGGGGACAACACACGAAGCGGCCAATAAAGCTATTGCTCTTGAAGGTGGTCCTCGGAGTTTGGTTCCGATTCTGCGCATGCGCATCAGGCTGGACTACGGAGGCCGCCGAGCCAAGTAGGGGAAAGGAGCGCGGGCGGACGCCTGTGTCATGTGATGCAGAGGGCGCCGAATTCCGCTGGAGTTAGGGCTGCTTCTTGTAGGTGAAGGTTGAAGGTCGATTCAGCGCTGGAGAAGCATCCTGTTGCTATTTGCTCTGCGCTCAAGGCTTGGGGTGGAGAGTCATGCTCGAGCTCCTTGCTTTGTAAAGGGCAGAAGCGTGGCTTGGGCAGAGGGTCGCACGCGCCAAGCTGGGGGGGGCGTGGCTCCGTGTCGCTAGTTGAAGACTTGGGGCGGGCTCACCCCGGGGGCTGAGATTCTTGAGTCCTGTGTAAACGAGGGGTGGGGCTTCCTGTCCATAAATTGATATACAGGTACGTGCGAAAGAAACACTTTGTTTTGATGCTGTTGTCATTACATTTACTCGTGGTAGCCTAGTTTGAGTGTCTGTGACATAAGGGTGGGGGACACCCATAAGAGCCCTGTCTCTATCGGCCGCTTGTATGCAAGTCCCGCCTCCCCTAGGCTGTCCTTGCTCTGACTGCCTCTTACCCCCACCTTCGCGAGAGGCGTGGCCTGGCCTCAGGTGGCCTTGCCCAGTCAAGCGTGTGGGGCGTGGCCTGACTGAGTTGGGGGCGTGGCCGCGCGGAAGCTGGCAGCGAGGGGCGTGGTCCAAGACTCGCGAAGTGGGGACGCGCCCTCTTCCGGCTTAGGTGATGTGTCTTGCCCCAGTATTAGCACTACTCTGTTTCCCTTAGGTGCAGCCTCATGAAGAACCCCGCTGCCGCCGTCGCCGCCGCCCCTGAGGAAGGTTCCTTTTTCTTGTTCCTGCTTCTGGCATGCGGGACGCTGGTGGCTGCCCTGCTGGGGGCTGCTTACAGACTCGGGCTTTTGTATCAGCTGATGCACAAGGTGCCAGGGCACTGGAGGGAGGCTGGCTGAGGGGTGCCAAAGAAGGAGGGTGTTAGAGTACCCCTACTGGCTGGCTCAGTTTACAGGGGAGAGAAAACGAGTCCTGACTAGTCCAGAGTGGTTAGCTGGGAGTTTCTATTCAGGGCTTTGCCCCATTGCTACGGCATATATGCGCCCTGGACTTTGCCATTAATCAGAGATAAGGGAAGCAACCATTGCCTGGGCAGTCACGCCCTGCCCTACCTCCTTACCCTGGGGCTTGAGCCCTTTTTGCAGAGCAGAGACACAGTAGGATTGTGATTCTTAAAAACAGCGGGATCAATGGGCTGAAGCAGAGGTGAGGAGAGGGAGTGACAGTTGTCCACTGCCAAGCTTAATGCTTTAGAGGATTTTCTTACATATCCCTTACCACCTCCCTAAAAGCATTTGCCGCTGTTTCTGTGCATATTTCCACAAGAGGAGACGGAGGCCTGGAGAGGTTCAGCAGTCTGCTGCAGATGACCTGTTTGGCCAGAGTGGGTGTTTCGTAGTTTTCCCCAGATCTGTTTGGGAACAGATGACCTCACAGGTCTCTCTCTGAACTGCTCGCTTCTCTGTGAGAAGGTGATCTGTTCTCCTTCTCCTGTCCTTATTCCAGTCAAGAGCAGTGCTGCTGACCTGGAGATGTGTGGCGATTTCTGGCTCTGTGGCTGCTGGGGCTCAGGGTTCTCCATGCAGTTTATACGGGCAGGTGCTTTGGTGTCAGCAGGACCCAGACCTGCTCAGCAGTGTTGGGAAAGAGCTATGTAGGCTGGAGTTACCAGCACAGGTGCATGCCATGCAGGGACATCACAGCAGGCCGGAGGCCCAGCTTGTAGCTTACTACCCTGGCCAAACTCTCCTGCCTTCAATATTCACACCTTTCCTATCCTCGCCTCCTGATTTCCCCACATCTCTGAGGCATGCAGTATAACAGTGTAGTGATTAAGAATGTGGGTTCTGTTGGACTTTGCATCTTTCTTGGGCAAACCTTGGTGTTCTTATCTGCACAAGAAATATAAAAACAAGAGGCTTTGATCAGATTATAAACCCTGCTCTGAAAAGCCCTGCCTAACCTATAGTATAGTGTGTGTTTAACTATTTAACCAATACCTGAGTTTTTCTGACTTCCTCTCCCTTCTTGGGAGAGCTGTTTCTGTCCATTCTCCCAGCTGCCTGTGTCACGCCCCTGATAATGTTTTTGTTTTTGGTCAAATCCAAGAATGCTTTACCACTGAGCTACATCTGCCCTTTTTATTTATTTTGAATTAGAGTCTCACTAGGTTGCCCCACTGTGACTCATACTTGCGATCCTCCTGCTTCAGCCTCCCTCAGTGCTGGATAATTGGGTCTGGCTGCGTGACCATCTTGCTCTTTTCTCTGGTGGCCCAGGTGGATGAGACGAGTGTCCGGCATGGTGGGGAGAATGTGGCAGCCGTGCTAAGGGCCCATGGTGTGAGGTTCCTCTTCACACTGGTTGGTGGGCACATTTCTCCGCTGTTGGTGGCCTGTGAGAAGCTGGGCATCCGCGTGGTGGACACACGCCACGAGGTCACAGCTGTATTTGCTGCAGATGCTGTGGCTCGCATAACAGGTGAGGGTGGTGCAGAGAAGGCTGGCAGCTGGTGGGACAGTGGCATAGGCATCTGAGAGTGACAGGCCTGGGATCTGTGGGTGTAGGAGGTTGGCAACGAGGATGGGCGTGGCCACAATGGGGTGTGTTCCAGGGACTGTGGGTGTGGCAGCAGTGACAGCGGGTCCTGGTCTCACTAACACGGTGACCGCGGTGAAGAATGCTCAGGTGGCGCAGTCCCCGATCCTGCTTCTGGGTGGAGCTGCTAGTACGTTGCTGCAGGTACCCAGTAATTGCGGGGTGGTGGGAATCCCAGGAGGAAGGCTCTGGGGTCTCCCACAGTAACTGTCCTACCCTGTTGCCACCAGAAACGGGGTGCGCTCCAGGCCATCGATCAGATGTCCCTCTTTCGGCCACTCTGCAAGTTCTGTGCATCTGTGCGGAGAGTGCGGGACATTGTGCCCACTCTGAGGGCTGCGATGGCTGCTGCCCAGTCAGGTACCCCAGGTAGGTTGGGCAGGGTGCTGGGCAGTGATCAGGGGCTGGGCACAGTGCCCCAGGCTCAGCTTCTTCTCCATACCCACAGGTCCTGTGTTTGTGGAGCTACCTCTTGATGTGCTGTACCCTTACTTCATGGTCCAGAAGGAGATGGTGCCAGCCAAGCCACCAAAGGGCCTCACGGGTGTAGTGATTTCTTGGTGAATAATGCCATTCCCATTGCGCCCCCTTCTGTCCCCTGCTGTCTCCTGCAGCCTTTTCTTTCTGTACACCCACCCTCCCTTGACTTCTTCACTGGTTTGCATATGGCCCAGGAGGGGCCAGCTGTGGGGAGAGAAATTGAGGCAGAACAGCATGTCCAAAGGTCCTGAGACAGGGCTGGACTTGATGGGTTGGATAAAGCAACAGGCAGCCTTTGTGGCAGCAGCTGAACAGGGGGTGAGCTTGGAGGGCTCCTTCTGCCTAGTTCCACTCCTTCCCTTCCAAATGTTTACTAAGCCCCAGTGATGTGCCAGGTCCTAGGACAGGCTTGGGTGGCCTCTTCAGCCAGATGGGTCCCTGTGCCCTCCATACATGAGAAGTGCTTGAAGGCAGGTTTGAACAGTAGTGATTTTGTTCTGTGGCCGTGTTCTTAATATTTTGCTCTCTGGCTTGTTGGTCACTTTCTTCCCTTGTTTTTCTTTCTTCCTTTTCTTCTCTTTCTTGCTGTCCTTTGCAAAGCTGTCTCTTTCTTCTTTTTCATTCCCTTTCTTTGACTTTATCTTTTTTTCCTGCAATCCTAACTCTGTAGACAAAGCAGGCTCTTGGCTCTGAGCCCTGACCACTTCCTGCCATTGCTCCTGGGCCTGTTTCTAACTGGATTGAGTGTGCCTTGAGGGCAAGACCTGGAAAAAATTTCCCTGTGTGTCTCCAGGGGCCCCACACAGAGCCCAGTGAATAAGGAGACAAGCATTGTAAGAAGCCGGAGAGGATGACATTGGTAACTCCCACAGGTTGTGTGTTTTGCGGAGTGTATTATTACTGACGTGGTAGATGGTTGAAGCTGAGTCCTGACCTGCAGTCATGGCCCCCTTCTAGGCACACAGGCTTGAGTTGCCTGTTGCTGTAGCAGTGCTGTGTCCAGTTGGCGCGGCCTGTAAGGCTTCTGGGGCCAACAAATGGAGACTCAGCCACTTGGAGTCTTTGGGTCAGTGGTGGTGAATCTGTGGCACATGTGCCACAGCCAGCTTTTTGCTATCATTGAAAGGTCTAAAAGGTTTGCCATCACTGCTCTAGGTCATTCCGTGTCTACCCTGTCCCTTCTCTTGTGCTTCCAGCTCCTTCCTAGCCCCTGGATTTCCTTAGCTCCTGGAATCCCTGTGACTCGCCTCCTTAGCTCTTTCCTCTTCTCCCACAGGTATTTACAGAATTGCCTGGCTAACCTCTTTGCTGGTGCGTGGGAGCCTCAGCCCGCGGGGCCCCTGCCCCTGGACATCCCCCAGGCATCCCCTCAGCAGGTGAATCATCTCCCGCCCCTGCGTAGGACTCCTAACCAGCCAGGACCTACAGACCCTTTCCCTGAGCTAAGCCTGGGGGCTGTGGTGACCCCTTCCACCCTAACTCTTGTATTAGGTTCAGCGCTGTGTGGAGACCCTGAGTAGGGCCAAGCGGCCCCTGCTGCTGCTTGGCAGCCAAGCGCTATTGCCCCCGACACCTGCCAGCAAGCTTCGGTGAGAAGCCCCAGTCCTGCCACCAGCATCATGTCCCTGGTCCCTGGTCTTCTGGTGCCTTGCTGGGAGGGGGCTGGCCCTTGGCTACACTGACCTCTGCTCTGCCTGGATGTTCAGGGCTGCTGTGGAGACGCTAGGCATCCCCTGCTTCTTAGGGGGGATGGCACGGGGGCTGCTGGGCCGCAACCACCCCCTCCACATCCGGCAGAACCGTGGCGCAGCCCTGAAGAAGGCAGATGTTGTCATCCTGGCAGGTGGGCCACAGCCTCTCTCTCTCCAGGAGCCCCTCCCCACTGTGATGGCCCCTGTTCCCTGGTGCCCCGCTGGCCTGTTACCTCATCCTCTTTCCTCTACCTTTACCTCCTTCCCATTTCAAAGGCTTGGAACAACCCTGAACTTGCAATTCAAGTGAAGCTTCACACAGCCTCCCCCAGGACAAACACCTTGTCGGTGCCTACTGCGTCTCACGCACATAAAATGTTTTGAATCCTGGTATATGCATCATAGGCACAGCCCCCAGCCCCCAGCCTCTTCGTCAGTACTAGGGATGAACTCAAGGACTTCCTACTGAGCTACATCTCAATCCTTTTTTATTTTTTATTTTGAGACTGGGTTACCTAAGTCTATAAATTGACCAGGTTGGGCTTGAACTTCTGTTCCTCCTGCCTCAGCCTCCCAGGTGGCACCACCACAGCTGACTAAGCTCTTGCTGTGTGTCGTCTCACATTGCTTAGTGACAGGGCTATGCATTCAGAGAAGTGTGTCATGAGTCCCTTTTGTTGTCATGTGAACATCACCAAATGCACTTACACAAACCAAGGTAGCTACTGTGCCACAAGGCAGTGTCGTTGCTTAGTGGTGTGTGTGTGTGTGTTGTTGGTGGAAATGTGCTTCTGTCATGCGAGACTGTGGCAGCCATCCCCAAACTCAAGGGTTTAGCGTGCTTTCGTGGTTTCTCAACACGTGGGGCCGGGGTTTGAGCTTCGTGATAGATGCATGCTTAGCATGGGCTGGGCTCCACCATCAGCACTGTGAAATGAAGACATGAAAACATAAGAAAAGACCACTTCACCTTTGGATTTGCTTGGCTTGTTCATGAGATTGGGCATCACATCAGCAGGGAGGCTGCTGTGTGATCCAGGTGGGGCTGGGGCTTGTCTGTCTGTCTGTCTGTCTGTCTGGGGTTGGCTGGCCGTGCAGGGCCCAGAGTGCTTCAGCTGCCTCCACCTGCACCCGGTGCCTGCTGTGCTCTGCCCTCCAGCAGGCCAGCCCAGGCTGGATGAACCCCTTAGTGGGAGTGAGAAACACTCTTCCTTTCCCCTTGTTTCCCTTAACTCTCTCCTTTTTCCCCTCCCCTCTCCTTTTTCTCCCCCTCTCTTTCCTTCTTTCCTTCATTTTCTTCCAGTGCTGGGGATGGAATCCAGGGCCTCACACATGCTAGGCAAATGCTGTATACTAAGCTGCACTCCCAGCTCTTGAGACCTTTTCAGATCTGTTTTTAAAACAGATTGGGAATGGTCACCCATGGCTTCTGCCACAAGCTGTTGACAAGAGCCACTCCTGAGTCAGCTCTGATTTGAGAGCTGCAGGGTTATTGCAAAAAATGCAGGGAGGCACGGCGGTAGTGAAGGGTGAGGAACCCTGACCCTGGTGGTGGCTGCTTTTGCTACCAGGCTCCCCTGGCTGGAAGGTCTTTCTTAGTGCCACAGGAAAGATGCCATAGGGGGAGAGAGGAAAAATAAATAAGTAAAAATTTTTTAAAGCAAAAAAAAAAAAAAAAAAAAAAGCAGAGAGACCCTTTAATAGTAACAGTGGATCTGAGGTGAGGTTGTGGGCATTGCCCTGGATGCTGGGCCTCTGTGTACTAATATCCTGCCCCTCGCCCCAGGAACTGTGTGTGACTTCCGCCTCTCCTACGGCCGTGTCCTGAGCCGCCACAGCAAGATTATTGTCGTCAATCGGAATAGGGAGGAGATGTTGCTCAACTCAGACATCTTCTGGAAGCCCCAGGAGGCAGTGCAGGGTGAGCTCTGTGATGTTCCCACCACATACGTGGTCCTTCTCTTCCTGGCTTATACTGCAGCTGCCTTGAGTTGGGTGTCAGAGACGAAGGCCCATATAACCAGAGACACATACTTGGCTCTCAGACCTTTGTAGGGAGAAATGGGAGGAGGGTAGAGAGGGAAATGTGCACGTCATCACCTGCCCAGGGACAGACTCTGCCATGCTGCCCATGGCCCTTAAGACAGGAGGCTCACGGGTGCCTGAGCTTTGCTGTCATCCTGTCTCTCGATTTCACTCCCCTTCCGTGGCCTGTTTAGCCGGTGGTTCTAAAGATATTGAATCTCTTGAAGACTCTCTCATAGGTGACAGGTACTCTTGGGTTAAGCAGAGAAGAAGTGGCATCTTTTTTTTTTTTATATATTTTACTTTATTTTTTGCGGAATCAGGGATTGAACTCAGATTCTTTTTTTTTTAATTATTTATTTATTACATTTTTATTTAGTGTGTGTACGTGTGTGGCCAGCTCAGCCCACCAGGGGGCGGGGCTGGCTGGCATGTGGTGCTGGGGGATCGAACCGCGGTCCCTGTGCTTTGCCAAGCCTGTTCCAAGTAGGTGCTTTAGACCACTGAGCCATCTCTCCAGCCCCCAAGAAGTGGCATCTTTGTGTTTGTTTGGGAAGGTCCACCCCAGCAGCTGGTGGGCAGTGGGCGGCAGGATAGGCAGAGGTAGGGCTGGGCTGCTGAAAAAAACCAGGACGGGAATGGCAGGGCCCGGAGTAAGGATGGACTGGGTGAGAAGCCAAACACTTCTGAGCACCCACTTGATCATTTCCAAGTAGAATGGCGAGAAACCCTCCTTAGGCTGTTTATGCCTTTCCTGCACTGATCAAAGCTGTGACTGCCTGCACGCCTGTTCTTGAGACCTCTGCTTGATGGTTGGAGCAGGTTTTCTTGTGTGTTTTGGGCCTGGTGCGTGTGAAGCAAGTGCTGTGCTACTCTGCTTCCCCAGCCCCCAGGGGAGCCGTTTTTATCAGTGCATTTTGGAGGCTGAATTGATAGGACTTTGTGAAGTGGGAGGGACTAGGGGATGATGGGTCCAACTTGGGTTCGGGTTCGAGCGCTCTGTGCTCTCTCATTTCCCTGCTCCCTTCTCGTCTAGACTGCCTTCGCCTGGTTTTGGCAGGCCCCGGGGTGCCTTTCATCTGCTTTGCCCTAGCAACAGACCTGGCCTTCTTCCATCTTCTCTGCTTGGATGTTGCTGTTGGCTTCTTGCTGTCTTCTGGCTTCTGGCCCTGGAGGGTAGGAGGAAGCCACTGCTCTGCAACTATGGCCTCTTCTTCCACCAGGAGATGTGGGCTCCTTTATACTGAAGCTGGTGCAAGGCCTTCAGGGTCAGATGTGGGCCACCGATTGGGTAGAGGAGCTGCGGGAAGCTGACCGGCAGAAGGAGCAGACCTACCGGTGGGTCTGTGGGGAGCAGAATGGGAAGGGCTTTCCCAGCAGGCTGTGGGTGACCCTGCTGATCCTCATCAACCCATTGCAGGGAGAAGGCAGCAAGGCCCGTAGCCCAGCACCTGAACCCAGTACGGGTACTGCAGCTGGTGGAGGAAACTCTGCCTGACAACTCATTTCTCGTGGTTGATGGTGGGGACTTTGTGGCCACTGCTGCCTATCTCGTACAGCCCCGTGGCCCCCTGCGTTGGCTCGATCCTGGTAAGGAAGGGCCCATACCAGGAGCACCTTTCACCTTCTGGAACCTGCAGTTAGTTGCTCTTTGTCTTTCTAGGGGCCTTTGGGACTCTGGGAGTTGGTGCAGGGTTTGCGCTTGGGGCCAAGTTGTGCCAGCCGGATGCTGAGGTGAGGCACTGGGTGTAGGAGACTTGGTGCCTTTTGGGCCATTAAACACTTAACCATCCTTGGTTGCCCCCTACCAGGTCTGGTGCCTCTTTGGGGATGGAGCCTTTGGGTACAGCCTCATTGAGTTTGATACATTTGTCAGACATAAGGTAACTGGGCTGTCCCAAGGGAAGCTTAGAGCCCAGGGTCCTGAGGTGGGGTGGCATTGTTTGCTAGCCAGAGGCCTTGATGTGTGGCTAGCTGGTCGTGTGGGGTGAAGGCTGTGGCCTGACTCATCTTTTCCTGCAGATCCCAGTGATAGCCTTGATAGGGAATGATGCAGGTTGGACCCAGATTTCTCGGGAGCAGGTGCCCAGATTGGGCAGCAACGTGGCCTGTGGCCTGGCCTACACTGGTGAGATGGGCAGGGAGTGTATGGGTAGAATTGACAGGTCCTATTTTGGGCCTTGTGGGGCTTATGTTCCTCTCCTGGGCTGGCTACATAGTGGGCTGGGTCTGACTTGATCTCTTTTAGATTATCACAAGGCAGCCATTGGTCTGGGGGCCCGGGGCCTGCTGCTCTCACGGGAGAATGAGGACCAGGTGGTCAAGGTACTGCGTGATGGCCAGCAGCAGTGCCAAGATGGTCACCCGGTTGTGGTCAACATCCTCATTGGGAGGACGGACTTCCGCGATGGCTCCATTTCCGTATAGGGCCTCCAGGGTCAGTATGCTTGGCTTCCTTCCTGCACCTGGACTGTGACTGGCTGGTCTAGAGTCTTACCCTTGCCTGCGCTGGACCTATCTATCCTGTGAGGCTAGTGACCTCACAACCCTCTGAGCTGAGGGGCTGGAGGATCACAGCTGCCAGCAGCATCTTGGCAACCTTGCAGAGCTACGGGCCTTTGTCTCCACAGACCTAACTGCACATCTCCCCTCTGCTCTTACAGACCAAATAAACCACTTCTGGCCCACATGGACCCAAGGACTGAGTCACAAAACCTGTGCATATTGATTTATTGTCCACAAAGATGGAGGTGAGGGAAAAAGGAGGGAGACAGGGAGGGGACCTTATTTTCCCACTGGATTACTTGGGATTTTGGGGTACATAGCTGGTTGAAATCTCCCCACTTCTGTGGTCCCTGGAAGAGTCCCACAATCCGCTCTTTAGACAGGTCCATACACACCAGTTCTCAGACGCAGACACACACATGCACGGAGGCAATAAATAGGTTTCGTACCAAAGTGCCCCAGCCTGACACACCAGGTGGGGGGCCCCTCTGCAAGGAAGGGGCTAAGTGCTCAATTTTTTCAGGGGTAGGGAGGGGAAGGAGAGGAGGGCAGTGGCCCAGACTGCCCCCTCTCTCCATTGGCTAGGTGGAGGCCTATCATGGGGTCTTCCCTGGAAAGGAGGGTGGGGAAACCAGCTGTTTTTCTAGAAGATCCAGGCTGCCCCTATCCAGCTGGAGTGCAGGACAGGGGCTGCCCGCCCTCACACAACACTTCATGATAGTCCTTGGGTCCTCCAAAGGAGGGAGAAACAGTGCAGTGCTCAAAGCTAATACTGATTTGGTTGGCAGCAAGAGGACTGACTAGGGGCAGCTCAGCACCCCAGGGTGACAGTCACAGTAACAGGTGTGGCAAGAGAGGCCAGCCTAGCAAGCAGAACTGCCTTTTGCAAACAAGAGGCGAAGAAGACCCGGTGCTTGGGAAAGATGGCCACAACCTCTAGTGTCTGAAGTCCTGTGCCTGGCCTTTACAACTAGGGCCTGAATAAAGGCACTTTCGAAACTGGGAATGACTTTTCGACTGGGAGGCTGGTCACTTGGCAACTCCCCTAGCAACCAGGAGCTCCGCCTAAGCAACACATCTGGTCCTTAGGTCACTAAAGGCCCTGCCTTAGTAACCAGGGTCCCGCCCTGCTCCATGGGTTCAGAGGCATACATTTATTTGCTTGGAGAGCTCTCTCTCCAGGTCCAGGATGAGGGCATCAAAATCTTTGAGATTCAGGTGTGGATTGAAGGGCGCATCAAACTCATCTTCGAAGTCTGCAGCATCTCTTTGCTCTTCAGCTTCGTCCTCGTCCTCGCTGTCACTGCCCGTCACGTGGTCGTAGTCAGGCCCAGAGAGGAAGTCCCGCCCACAGGGCAAGAAGTCCCGCCCACAAACGCTCCAGTCCCCAGCATAACGGTTGCTTGGGGGGCTCTCTGGGCCTCCGCGACCGCGAGGTCGAGTCACCACCTCCGGGCCTGCAAGTGGCAGGTGCAGGGATGGCTGTCGTTTGGGCCTCAAGTATGGTGCGACGTCGGGAGCCTCTGCGGATGGGTGAGGATCTGAGGGGGCAGAGGAAGCGCTTGAGATGGCTGCACACAGCTAGTCCGTTTGGGAAGGCAAGGCCTTGGCCCGGAATAGGATTTCATTGGTAGGGGCCGAATTGGTTGCTTAGGCAATCGGTTTCCTATTGGCACATTGAGAGGCGGGGCCGCTGGCCGCATCAAGAGCGGATTGGTCAGATCTAAGAGAGGGGTGTGGCATCCCTTACCAGACTCTGATTGGATGCTCATGAAGGCCTTACCATAACAGCCCACCCGGATTAGTGGCCTAAGCCTGGAGCGTGCCTACCTGGCCAAGATTGCAGCAGGTAATGTAACACTTCGATGTGGCGCTTGAAGTCCACCGCACTGGTGACGCCTGGGCCGCAGCCGCGAATGCGGGGCCGGGCAGGTGCCTGGCGCGCCGGCAGCAGCACAGGCCCAAAACATACTGCCAGGTTCTGTGGGGTCATGCGGTTGTGGGCGTGGAAGGAAGAGACGAGGCGCAGGTGGTTCAAGAGAAGAGTCAGTGTGGCCTGGGAGAGGGTTGTGAGGGAGGGAGGACATGAGGCAGGCAGAGTCGGGGCTGTGTCACACCTGTGGGAAACTAAGGTGACCCAGGGTGGGGAAACTGAGGTCTAAGGTCTCACAGTTGTAAGGTGGCCAAGCTATTTGGTTGATTCCATTTAGCTAAAGGGCAGATGGAAGCCAAGGGCAATTTAAGTTTGGAGTGGTAGAGCTGAGATTCCAACCCACTGCTGTGGGTTAAGAGGGTTATCATGAATGCCATTTTACAATTGAAGGCATTGAAGTGCAGAGAGAGAAAGGACTTAAGATTCTACAGCCAGGATCTTCCCTTGTGGCAAGTTGGCAGGCCTGTGTTTAGAGTTTATATTTTTAACATATTATGGCTGTGCACCTTTGGGCAACTCACTCAACTGCTCTGGGCCTTGGTTCCCTGATCTATGAAACTACCAGTAGTACCTGCTTTGTAGGTGTGTGTTGGTCCCACAAGTTCATGTCCACCCATCACAGGCTCAGGAGGGGTGAAGTGCTCTTCTGGTATTGCCCATCCCGTTTTCCACCACTCCTGCCAACTCACCCTTTCCACATCTGGTAGGCAGTTGAGAAGCCCTCTGGTGCCCTCAGGACTTGGGGGACTTCTCCTTGGGTGCCCTTGGGCCATGGCCTCCAGGACCACCTGATAAAGGGGCTGGGTGATGAGTGGGGTGGGCAACTCTCGAAGATAATCCTTGAGGATGCCTGTGGACACAGGACCCCCTGTGGTCAGGGCATCAATGGTTTCCAAGCTGGGAGGGGGTTCCCTCTGGGACTGGGAGTAGGGGGGAAGAGGAGGAGAACAGGTGCAGAAGAGTGCAAACAGGGTTAGACCAGAGGGCTCAGCAGGCCACCAGCCCTGCCTTGAGCTGCGAGTTGAAAGGAGATGAGCCCGAAAAGGTGATGGGGTGATGCTGACCTGTGATGACATTGATGTCAGGGTACAAGTCCTCTGAGAGGCAGACAGCCGCACTGTCCCGCTCAAAGGCATCCCGCAGCTCTTTCTTCACTGCTGCTGAGCCACATAGACGGTACAAGCCCACTACCTAGGGGTGGGCACAGAGGGTGTCCGACTGGGTTGCACACTAATCAGGGCCTACTGCTGTGGGGGCTGGAGGTCTGGCCAGGAAGGTGACACTATGGGCTGGGAGGGTGGCACTGGCTGTAAAAAGCCTCCATGGCTGTTTCTGTTGCTGTGACACCAGCCACTGGGTCTCACCCTGGCTGCCTGGACAGTGTGGCCTCATAACCCTTCTGCTTGCACCACTTCCTTTTGTTTCTCAGATCACTTATCATGTCCTCCTCCAGGAAGCCTTCCCTGAGTACCCCAGTCAAGTCAGGTCCTGCCTTAAGTTCTTGCAGCCCCAAGTACCTTGGAAGGTACTTCCAAGCCATGTTTTTTGTTTTGGTTTCTTTGGGAACAGGATCTTCCTATGTATTTCAGGTTGGCCTTGAACTACATGGCACAGGCTGGCCTCAAACTCTGTGTAATCCTCATGCCTCAGCCTCCCAAATGCTTTAAAGGCACGCTCCACCACATCCAGCATCCAAGCCACTTTTACCTTTGTGATCTATTAGTCATATCTTTCTGCCAGGAGACTGAGCTCCAGGAGGGTCCAGGTCCTATTATTATATGGATAGATGAACCACAGGTTCTGGCCCAGCTGCTGTGCTCTCCTGCCTGTCTAGACTGGTGTTTGAATTAGGAGTAGCCTAGGCTGTAGAAAGCCTGATGTCCACACACTGGGGATGCTGGGCACTGGATCTAAATTCTGGGGACCAATGGGGAAGGGAAGGGCCTCACCCGCAGCCCTCGACGCTCGATCTGTGCAACACACTTCTGGATGATGAGAGGCACCTGGCCGGGGGGCTGCTCCCGCTCCACCAGCAGCGGCAGGGGCAGCCCAAAGACACGGGGCTCAGCTGTGGTGGGTGCTTCCTGCTGGTCTGACAGGGTAAGCTTGGCATAGAGCAGCCCCTGGGGCTCCAAGCGGACAGCCAGCTGCTGGGCCTGGCAGCCTGAGGACACAAGAGAATATGGGCAACGTGTGTCCAAAAGGTTCCTGGGTCCTGGCCCCTCCTAATCCAGGTCATACTTTCCCCTTAGATCCCAGACCTCAGGGCACTTTCAGGGGAGGGGGCACCATGGACTGGGTGCTACCCTGTCCCTCTTTCCTTAAATCCTGTGTCCTACCTCGGAAGACTGTGGGCAGCAGCACAGTGCCCTGAGCACAGGGCCGGTGCCGCCTCACGCCAGGGTCCCAAGCAAGCACCAGGGCTCGTAGCAACCGGGCAGCCTCCAGCTCCAGGTGGAAGGTGTGGTCCAGCTGCAGGAAGTCTGGCCCTCCGCGAAGGGGCCCTGTGCGGGCTCGAGCCACGCCATCCACTTGTAGCAGGCAGCAGAGGTCTCTTGGGGTGGCCCCTGGTGTTGGCCGCAGCCCCCTGAGCCCGTAAAGGTGCAGGCTGAGGCGGCCCCAGAGTGCAGCTGGGGGCACCCGGGCTGCTGGGCCTGCTTCATAGGGCTGGAAGGCAGTGGATGATGGAGGCCCCACTGGGCGCTCAGGGGAGTCACCATCACTGAGGTACCCAGCCCTGGGGCTCCGAGTGCCCCCAGTTGTTGCTGTCCGCCCAGAGGCCCCCACACTGCTGTCCAGATGATAGCGGCTGATGACAGAGCCTGCTGGGGCAGCCCTCTCACGCTCTCGGCCAGCCCTAGGGCCTCGCAGGCTCAGGCGGCGCCGAAGATCGGGCAGCTTCTTCATCTTCATGGAGAGGCGCCTGGCAGGGCCTGGCGACTTGGTGCGGGAGGTTTTGGTTGGGGGGCTGGCAGGAGCTGCGCCTGCAGGGAGAACAGACCTCAGGGTTCAGAGCCTGGGCCCCTGGAATTGTCATCTGGGGGATGGGGGTGAGGCTGTGGCTACTGGGGTATGTGAGGGAGAAGGTAGTAACCAGGGTGATAACTGCACCTACCTTGGTGGGTTGGGCTCTCTGGCTCAGTGGAGGCTGGCTCAGGTGCTGGAGGTCTGGGGTCTTCCTCAGGGATGGGATTGTACCAGATCTCGCCAGCAGGTTCCCCACTGCTAGGTAGCCCTGGCCCCAGAGGAGCCTCCTCAGGTGGTTTGGCCCCTCCTAGCACCCATCTTCGGCTGCTGGGCTCCAGACTTTGCAAGTATGCTCCCCATGCAGGGCTCCGGGGCTCCTCGGGGCTGGGTAGCCCCTCTACTCCAGCCTGGGACCCTTTGAAGGTCTGGAACTCTGGTACGGGTGGAGTGGGCTCTGGGCGCTGGGCTGGTCGGCCTGGAGGGGAGCAGAGGGAGTGAGATGCAGGCCTCCAGAACCCCCAAAACAGCCCCAACCCAGGGCTCTTCTCGATCAGTTCAGTACTAACCTTCATTCCGTGCCACTGGTTGACACGTGGGATGCCCTGTCCTGTCCTGAGGCCTCAGTCACTGCCCTTAGGGAACTGCTGTCTTGTGTGGAATGGGCAGCCACAGGCCAGTTGGTCCCCAACTCAGTTCCTAGCATTCCAAAGAGGGCCAAGTCCTTCTAGCCTCAGGGCCCAGGTCAGCTGTCCTTAGGCCTTAGGCCCTGGGATGTGGCTTCTACTCTTCCAGCCCTCTCCTGAATCCTAGCACAGAGGTCCTGTCTCTGCCCACAGGGTAGGCTTACTTCAGCAAGTGCCTTCCCTTTCCTGAGCCGTGGCATCCTCCTGGATGAGAGACGTGGGTGGTGCTCACCTTCAGGAGGGCTCCAGGGGGCTCAGTGTGCTAGGGGTTTCCCGGACACCACGTCCCTGCCAGGCTCACAACCCAGAGCAGATGCTAGCTAGTGCTGCTCTGGAGACGCACTTCACCTACAGCCTACGCTCTGCCCCTATCCTGGGCTGCGTCCTGTCCCTCAGCTGAGGCCAGAGCCCACAGTGAAGGCCTTGTGGTCTCCTGTTTGCTCCATCCCGTCTGACATCACTGAGTATTTCCTGTGTGTGTTTATGTGTGGGCACCCCCGTCCCTCTGGCTCTGGGAACCTTGGAATCTCTGGGAAGAGCCGGGGAGGAGAGGTCAGGTCTGTGCAGTGGTGGAGGCGCTCTCCTTTAACTGGCTCCTTCCCAGACCCCTCCTGTCCCATACAGCTCCAGTTTTCCAAGGGTCATGCCTTACTGTTCCTTGACCCCGTCCCCTGCCACCTCTGATTCCCACCTCCCAGGAGCCCTTCTCAGAGGTCTCTTATGAGTAGCATAGGCCAAATCGCTGTTTAACTCACTCTGCCAGCCCTGTGCAAACTACCCAAACCGCCACGTGCCTCAGTTTCCCCATTTGTATAAAGGGGACAGCTTCCCCGGGCTGCCCAAAGCAGGCATAGCAGCAGCAGTGTGTGGCTTGAAGGCTGTGGGATGCAGGAGCAAGGCTTCTCCCCATCAGAGTGTCCCCCCCACAGCGTCCTGGCCTCCCGCCCCTCTTCCCCGCCACCCCATTTCCTGTCGGGGCGAGCCCCCTCCCGGGCCTCCCATGGAGCCATCCCGGCTGCCCGCACATAACGGTCCGCGCCCCCTAATCCCCGCAGCTCCTGGCTCCCAGGACCCCAGCGCACCTCGTGCGCTCCCCGGCCCGCAGGGGGCTCCATGGGGCGCCAATGTCCCTCCAGCTGTCCTTCCTCTGGGGATCCGGGCACCCCAGGCCGCCCGCGCGGCTCCTTGCTTCCCTTCCCTGCTGCATCCCGGCCCCCTCACCGCGTTCCTTGGCATCTGACTTTTTCCGGGGAAGTTTCTCCCGGCCCCGCAGACGAGAGAACGTTTTCCACAGTAGCGGCTCGGCCATGCTGGGGCCCGGGTGGCCGAGCTAAGCGAGCTGAGTGCGTCCCCCTGCCCATCCCCATGCCCCGCCCCACCTTGCGCCCCGCCCAGGCCTCCAGCCCGCCCAGCGCCCGGGCCAGCCGACAGGAAGCGCATTCCGGGAATGCTTGGCCCAAACTTTTTTTTTTTTTTTTTCCCCTTCCCCTTCCAGCTGCCCCGGCGAGCGGGTTGCTGGGAGATGTAGTTGCCCCTGGCTTGGAGGGACAGGATGGGGGCTGCAGGCTACCCTCTGCTCCAATTGGGAATTCGGTAGCACAGGCCCGGCCCTAGCCTGCCCTCTTACTCACTCTCTGAATGATGACATCTGGTCTGCCTCCAAAACGTACCCCCAACACCCAAGCTTTCTCTTTCCTTTCCATCCATGACTTCAACTTGGCCCAAGCCCTAACATCATTCTGTTCAATAGCCTGCTCTCCACTGAGCCTCTTCCTTGGTCTCCTCAATGCCACTACTGCCTCTCCCTCCTCACCCAGCTTGCTAATAACCCCCCTAGTCTACGATCCAGTTTCTACAGTTGTCTTAATAAACTGTCCCCAAACTTGGTGTAAAGAGGCGTTTTATGATGTTCACCGCTGTTGTGGGTCCAGAACAGCAACAGGGCAGAACTGGTATTACTCTCTCTACTCCGTGGAGAGGGTTCCCTGGCCAGGCGGCACAAAAATGGGAGGAGGGAAACAGGTTTCCCTGAACACATCTTCAATCATTTGTTGTATCAATCAGTTTTTCATTAGGATAATGAAAGATCCAAAGCTGGCAACTTTATAAAGCAAAGAGGTTTGTTTAACGCACAGTTCTGGAAGTTCATCAGCCTGGTGCTGGCAAAGGTGCCAGGCCACAGTGCAGGAGAGAAAGATGGGAAGAGGGGGCAAGAGATCCTATACTCAGCCAAGAAGTAAGAGAGTGCTTTGTGGAGTTGGGGTGGGGCTCACTATTGTAACAACCTGCTCATCCCCAAGAGCTGCCTTAATCCCTTCTGCGACCCAGCCCAGTGACCTAACAGCCTCTCTTGGCCCCATCCCTTAACATGGCCACACTGGAGACCAATTTTCTGGTGCATGAAGCCCTGGGGGGTACACCATGCCCTCATCATTGCGCATGCCTGCAATGGGCAGCAGTCTCTACTGCAGCTGTGGACTAGGGCAGCTACACAAGCCTTTTCGTGTGTTCTCCTGCTACTTTCAGTATGGTTGCCTTGGGTCCTTGGGCTTTTTAGCTACTCAGGGCTCCAAAAATAAACAAGGCAGAAGTAACATTACCTTTTGTGATAGAACTTGGCATTACTCTTTGTGCTGATTATCTTTTTGTGTCTGAGATGAAACACCCACCACTTACCATTTAAAGGAGAAAGGCTTTAATTTGACTCATAGTTTCAGAGGGTTTAGTCCATGGTTAGCTGGCTTCAAGGCAGAAATGGCAGGGTGGAAGGACATGGAGGGGAAAATGGGGCAACCTATTTTGATAGCCAAGAACAGAGCAAGCACAGAAGAGCCTGAGAGAAAGGGGCTGGGGACCAGGTATTCCTCAAGATCATGACCAATGACCCACCCAGACACACCCAGAAGTGTACATTTTAAATGTCCCAGGTATCTTTCAAGCTAATTAAGTTGACAGGATTAACCATCCGACACACTTGTCGTTTACAGCATCAAGGATAGGGGACATAGACCAACATCTCTCGATGGAAGTTATGTTTCATGAGCTTGGATGGATACAGGATTGGATATGTGTTTTAGGTACCATGGTACCTCTTTGGAGGCTCTTTTTCTGTCAGCTGTCTCGCTGTTATTAATTATTCTATTTCCTTTCTCTTAGTATACCACATCTTGAATTTTAATAGTTGAGTGATTTGTTCATTTTTTTTTCTCATCCAGGTACAGCTTATGTGTTGCTCACTTCTCACACAGGCAATCAGGTGCCATGAAGGATCCCTGGATATAGGGATATATATATGTTTCATATCTCACTATGGTTCTGTTTATTCTACTTGGAGTTCCTTGAGCTTCTTGGATATGTAAATTCATGTCTTTCATCAACTCTGGGAAGTTTTGGGCTATCATTTCCTCAAATGTTCTTTCTGATCATTCTTTTCTGTGTTTTTTTATTCGTATTGTGTGTATGTTGGTAAATGTGTTAGTGTTCCTTATATCCATTAGGCTTTGTTCAATTTTTTTTTTTTTGGATAGCTGTGTTTGTGAAGTTTGGAAAAGTGGTGGTGGGGAGCACCCTCCTCCTTTCTTAGATGTCTTGTGGCAGTGGTTGACAGTGGGGGGAGGGTTAGAAGTTAAGACTTTACACATCTATGTGAGTGACAGATCTAGGGTACCCTAGAGCCTCAGAGGAGCAGTCATTGGTCCTATTTCTTAGTTACATCAAATAACTAAGAAACACCTTCAAACTGGGTGCAGTGATAGATTTCTGTCATCCTAGATACTCAGGAGAGTGAAGTACAAGGATCCTTGAGCCTAGAAGTTTAAGGCCAGCCTGAGTTACATAATAAAAACAAAACAAAACAAAACAAAACAAAACAAAACAAAAACAAAAGAGAAAACCCTCTTATGCCATATGGTATTTATTATTTTTAAACCTATTCAACAGAATCTTTGTCTTTTTTATTGCATTTATTTGCCTACATGTAGCTCATTTAGTTAATCATGGGCTATAATTCTTTTGTTTAGTTTTGTTTGCTACTGGGAACCAAACTCAGGACGTTGTGCTTGCCAGGCAGGCACCAGTGTCACTGAGCTATGTCCCTAACTGCAGGTTGTAATTCTTGATAAAGAAGACTAAATTATTTGCAAATTGTATATTATGAAATGGTTGTGAATGTTTTTTCATGTTTAATAAAGTCTGTAAATTATTATGTATTTTGGAACTGAAGTACAGTTTTAAGTGTGTGTGTATGTGTGTGTGTGTGTGTGTATGTGTGTGTATGTTTTCTTTCTTCCAAATGTCTTCACTAGCTGCAGGCTCAATGTGCTGTGCATTTGGTGCTCAATGGATTAACCACACCCTGGCACATACAGGAATTTATTGAAAGAACAAATGCAGGTGGAGAGGGATGGTTAGAGTTCAGCAGAATTCTGTACCTTTGTGGCAAAGAGAGTTGGTAGATACGTCCCCCAGCTCCCTCATGCTTGCTGTGAGATGCCTGAGGAGCGTGTGCTACACTGTCCCATGGGACTGAGATCCAGCTGCTCGCCTTGGAAATTTGCTTCATAATATATCTTTTACTGACCCTTGCTTCCTTTTCTCCACTCTTTGTGCTAGCATGTCCTGATGGATCACTCCTCATGTACACCACCTGTGGCCGAGCCTGTGTTTCAGGCTTAGGTTTCAGGAGATGCCAAAGAAAGACATTCTGAGCTATCACCAAGAAGTCTAATAACAAATGCCGATAAGGCTGAGGGGCAAAAGGAGCCCTGCTTCATTGTTGGTAGAGATGTAAACATAAACTACTATGAAAAATCAGCATGGATTGGGGCCGGGGAGATGGCTCAGTAGAACAAGCACTTGCCTGGCAAGAACAAGGGCCTGAGTTCAATCCCGGTTCAAAAAAAAAAAAAAAAAAAGAAAAATCAGCATGGAGATTCCTCAAAACACTAAAACAGGAAGTTCTTTTCCACCCAGCTATTCCCCCTCTAGATATCTTCCTGAAAGTATCATATTATAGTGATACATACATCCTCAGATTTATAGCAGCACAGTTTGCAATAGCTAAATCTTGGAAGCAGCCTATATGTCCATGATGAATAGATAATGAAGATGTGGTTCACACACATTGGAATACTATTTTACCTTATGAAGAAAACTAAACGAGTAATTTGTAGGAGAATGGATGCACCTTGAGACCATAATATTAAGTGAAGTGAATCAGACACAAAAGCTAAAAAAACAAAACAAAACAAAACAAAACCCTTAAATATTGCATATTTCTTATATAGAAGCCCAAAATATGGGCTGGTGAGATGGCTTAGTGGTCTAAAGCACCTACTTAGAACAAGCTTAGCAAAGCACAGGGACCGCGGTTCAATCCCCCAGCACCACATGCCAGCCCGCCCTGCCCCCTGGTGGGCTGAGCGGGACACACACACACACACACACACACACACACACACACACAAAAGAAGCCCCAAAATAAAGAACAAAATAAAAGGGGGTAGGGGAATAAAAAGACATTTTCCCTTGGCCTAGGTTTCCCCATTTGTCTAAAGGGAAGAATAATCTCTGTTACAAAAGCTATGGGGGTGGCCTCGTGTCTGTGGGGATAGGTCCCCTGTTGTGATTTAGATATGAAATGAACCAGAGGCTTGTAGCGGTTTGTTGGTGTCTCCATAGTCCTCTGGAGAAAATGGGGAGAAGATCTAGAAAACAAAGATGAGTTAATAGTTAAGGTCAGGTGGTGGGCTATGTGTGATTGGCAAAGGATCCCCAAACAACAGTAGGGGTGTTTATAGCTTTGCAAAGTTGTAACACACAAGGTTGCTTAGTGACTAATAGGCAACAATGTCCAGGCAGAATGCTTTTCTCAAGACTGAGGTAGCTTGACAGCTTTAGGCCAAGAGGCCTCATCCTGCCCTCCCACATAGGATCAATTTCCAGCTTCCACAGCTCCCAACAGAGGCGCGTCTCTTTGGGGGCTTGGTCCTCCAATGCAGCATGTAGACAGCTGGGACTTTGGGAAGCATTTGGATCATAAGGGCTCCAACACTGGCAATAGGAGAGTCCATCCTTGAGTTCATAGGTCAGTGGGCTTATTTTAGGGGATGGGACCTCATTGGATAGAACATGTCACTGCAGTGTGGCTTTGAAGAGAACCTTTTGTCCCTAACCTCCTTCCTTGCTGGCTGTCTCTGTCACTCTGCTTCTGGCTGCTTGATTTTGCTCTGGTGTTTCTGCCTCACTACAGGCCTGAAAGCAAAGCAGCTACTGACCATGATTGACACCTCTAAAACAGTGAACCAAAATAAACCTTTCCTCCTCTAAGTTGATTTTCTCAGGTATTTTGT